TCTTTGCTCCTCCTCCTCCTCCTCCTCCTCCTCTTTGATCCTTCCTTTCTCGCCACGTGGCGCCCCAGCACCAACCCCCCAATCAAGACGCTGTCCTCCCTCTCCTCCTCCTCCACCTCCCTCTCCTCCACGTGGCGTCAAAGTGACGCAGCGAATCAGCGAAAAAAAAAACAAAAAAAAAAAACAAATCTCCTTCTCCTCTCCTCCTCATCCTACTCTGCTCCTCCTCCTCCTCCTCATCCTACTCTGCTCCTCCTCCTCCTCCTCATCCTCGACCACCTTCCGTTTCGAACCCTCCTCCTCCTCCTCCTTCTTTGGTCCTCCCCCTCCTCTTCTCCGTTGAACTTCTCCCTTTGTAGCCACGTGGCCAACCCTTCTCCTCCTCCTCCTCCTTCTTTGGTCCTCCCCCTCCTCTTCTCCGTTGAACTTCTCCCTTTGTGGCCACGTGGCCAACCCTTCTCCTCCTCCTCCACCTACCTTCAAGATCCCCCCCTCCTCCTCCTCCTCCTCCTCCTCTTCGGTTCTCCCTTTCTCGCCACGTGGTGCCCCAGCACCGCCCCCAAAATCAAGACGCTGTCCTCCCTCTCCTCCTCCTCCTCCTCCCTCTCCTCCACGTGGCGTCAAAGTGACGCAGCGATTCAGCGAACGGAAAAAAAAAAAAAAAAAAAAACCAACTACTCCTCTCCTCCTCATCCTCGAAGACAAACAACATCCATTGGAGGTCTGTAGTATGGTGGTCTCCCTCCCCCCTTTCTATAGCTGCCGTCATTCTCCTTTCAGCCGAAGACGAAGAAGAAAGAAAGGAGGAGGGAGAAGGAAGGGGGAGGSAGGAGACATGGTTGATGAGGGAGGAGGGGCTCACCTTCTCACGATGCAGACGACGTCGAGGAGGAGCGATGGCGAAGCAGCAGGCAGCGACGACGACGAGGCGCGAAGGCAGCGGCGACGACGAGGCGTGAAGGCAGCACCGACGTCCAAGCACGGAGGCAGCACCGACGTCCAAGCACGGAGGCAGCACCGATGTCCAAGCACGGAGGCAGCACCGACGTCCAAGCACGGAGGCAGCACCGACGTCCAGGGACGGAGGCAGCAACGACGAGGTGGAACCCTGCTCGGAGGACGAGCGGGGGAAGCGCGTTTTCGAATTCAAACACAGTCCGAATTCAAATCGCGATCTCGCGCGAGCCGTCGATCTTCACTGATCAACGGCGGATCTTCGAGGCCGAAAAAAAAAAGGGCCTACTGGGCCCCGACTTTTTTCTCCGCCCCCGCTCTACTGTCCACTACAGCCTCGGTCTCCCAGGGGCTTTACCGGGGAAAAAAATAAAACGCCCTCTATTTTGTGCAAGGGGGCCCGGGGTTTCGACCGGGCGGGCCGCCCGGCCGGGCGTTCCGGGAGTGTGCCGGGCGAGGGAGGGGGTGGCCGGGCCGCCCGGCTGGTAGCCCAGCTCCCTTCAATGGCAAATCACCCACAGATGCCTACCAACCAATGTCTGGATCATCGACAGAACGACACTCGAGCAAAGAGGTATAGCCTTTCCCTGGTGTAAATTCTGCAGATCCGCATTCCCATCTAAACAAATCCCAGAGACCATTGAACATTTATTCCTACAATGTCCAGGTTCAGTTTGGCTATGGAGATGGTGGGACAGGATTTGGAACCAAATGGAAACCACCCAACCATGGCCATGGAACTGGAAAGCGCTCCTTCTTGAATCATGGACATCGTCAAGTGAGGATCTCTTCACAAATAACTTATTCACGATTGGAAGAAGGGCTGTCATATGGGCTATATGGGCTCGCAGGTGTACCTTTGAAATGGAAGATGCCCGTCTTGATGGGCCGGAATTCACAGATACCATCAAACAACACGTCCAATTGGAGATCCGCACTAAATGGGACTCACTGAAAGAAAAACTCAAAATTCTTATCAACAGAAAAGGATATTAAACAACATATAAAAACATTCAATCAAAACTGGCTTGGGGGGGATCAAGGTGGCAAAATAGGGCAGGTTAAATGGAATGGGGTRACTGATACTTCTCTTGCTGAGCTCCAAAGATCCTRCGTCTTACAATTTAAMGACTGGAGCAACATTGACCCTTCTAYCCCCCTTAGTCCTCCWTCTGWATTCCCTGATCTTTTTCCCCCATCCAAACTGGCTYTAGTCCCTGCGTCATGGTTTGGGCTACAATGAACAATGGGACCCATACTGCTAGGATTTTTCTGAAACACAGTCCCATTTCTTAGATGAATATTATAGAATGG